CCTATTCGGTAGTTCAAAGGTGTCATCGTATGTATCGGTGTGTGTGCACATGTATTTGTGTCTGCTGATGAAATTGTTCCATATAAACTTACTTTAAAATTATAATTATCAGTAATATACTGAACCTCAACCCAAAATGTGAAGATTTTACCTAGAGTAATGTCCTAGATTCCCTTTCCTTTAAATTTCTTTTCATCATTCCATCCACCTTCTCAGTAATTTTCTAGAGAGATTAAATGAAAAATTACATAGCTTTATACCCAAAGTCTTTGTATCCATCTACCTCTCTTCAGACTTGGCTACTACTGTATGCAAGTGTATGGGTCGGCTAATGTTAAGCAGCCTGTTGGCAACCATTCGTTGTTACCATAGCTCTACATTCCTATACAACGGCAAAACTGCACAGTCCATCAGTCATAGGAGTCAAAGCTTATAAGGTGCCTGTCACATCAACCAAGAGCAGAAAGCTTGATCACCCAGGGAAGTAAGAAGTAGGACAGAAATGCCTTGGGGGCCAAGGACCAATACATGACAAGGGACCCCAGAAGCTGATCAGTGGAAAGCCTTGTTGCTAAGACTGAAGCCCTGGCCGCCTAGGGCTTGACCTCAATGACAATTCTGAGTCATCAAGCAGGTGAGAAGTGCCTGGAAGGCAGACTCACAAGCGCTGATCCTATAGATGACAGAGCACATTTTCTAGTTTCCCCCATCCTTTTCTTCTTGCCCTCTTCCCCTCACAACTGCTGCTGTGTGATTAGTCTGCCTATAAAAAGGGCAGGATCTTGCTTCAGCAGCATCCTGCACCCTACAGCTTGCTTCACGAGTCCCATTTTTTCAGTTCACTATTTGGCTCCCAACAGGGGCCCTGTACCCTGCTTCTCAAGCCAGGAGAAGGGAATTGGACATCCTCTCAAGCTTGGTCAAAGCTTCATAGACCCAGAGTCTATGACATTTTCAGTTGAGTCTTTCCCAACTAATTTTCTTCCCAATCAGCCTGTTGCAGACCCACAGTCTGCAACAAAGCAGTAAAAACGTGTTTTCAGTGTGTCTTTCCTTTCTCTCTTAGAACATGGGTAATAACCTCACACCCCCTCAGAGCGCTTCTACAAATCCAGGGATGTGATGTGTCTAGTAAGGAGTTCACTCAATTCTCAACAGCAATTAAAACCCCTTGTCCTAGGTTTCCTCAAGAAAGAATCTTATATTTTTTGGTAAAATTTATCACTTACAGAGAGACTTAGAAACAATGCCATCTCTCACCTTAAATTATGGGATTTATGTAAATCTGCTATTCAGTCACCAGATGAGGACTTTTTATGAGACCAAAAGATCCAGGCCATACCTCAGCCTGTGTTCATCCTCCTCCCTCTCTGGTGCGTCCATCACAATATGAGTGCAGCCCAGACCCCAAAGCAGAACTACCACTTCCAGCATATTTTGAGTTTCTCGTAGAAAAATGTTTCATGGAAAAAAATTGGAGGGAGAAGTGCTTCAAGCTTTTTCAGCTAGTTATTTGATGAGGAGGTTGCCATTTGCTATTTTTAGGAAATTTAGAAAAGACATTTCCAGAAATGGTGTTCAAAGTTCATTTACAAAAGGCATTGTTAAAAGTTATAGAAAATGGGTATAAAATGACTTCATGGGATTTTAAGATTCCCCTCAAAACTGTATCTACCCACAGCGGCTGTCTAATGGGGGCTGCCTTGGTTCACAGCAAGCAGCTACTTGGACGTTCACTGCAGTGCTGAGATCATTGATATGTCTCTGCTGCCGTCCTGCTGTGGGAAACGGGACTCTGCTTGTGTCCACCTGAAGATACTGTTCCAGTCTGTTTTATAGGTAAAAAAATTTATTTCCCTCTGTTTTCCTACAGAATGTTTATTGGTTGAGTAAAAACTTCCAAAGTGCTTACTGGACCTGCAAAAAGTTAAGTTTCTTATAAAATTAATTGACCTGCTAAAAAGTATAAAATGGAAGTGCAACTGTCTTTGAGCTAAATTCCAAACCTTAGATTTCTGATAAGAATCTAAGAACAGGCAAACTGTAAAACAAGATTTTAATCACCCTTCTCCTGTTTTTCCTATGCAAAGTCCCTAAAAAAGTGTTCCTTTGTCTTAGAAATGTGCCTGGTCTCAGTGAGTTAGAGTAGAAACAATGGAAAGTCAAAGGGTCATTCTTTGAAATACAAACTCTAAATATTTCCTTATTTCAAAGTTAGTAAAAACTGTTCTTTAAAATGTTGGTGATCTTGGGCCCTAGGTTTTAAGTAATGGTTAAAATTGGACACTTACTCTATGTAAGGATTTTAGCCTCTATCTCATTGAAAACCTTGATATAAAAGGATATTAAAACTTGGTTAAATGGATGTGACAAACGTAAACTAAAATCTAAGTTCAAGCCAAAACATCACCTTAGAAATACAAGGGGGTTACTAGAGAACCAAAATTTAGTCAATTAAAATTTCTCACTGTCTGTACAAATAAAATAGCTACGGGGCCTCCCTGGTGGCACAGGAGTTACAGTCTCAGTGCAGTCAAGCTGTCGCCAGCCGCTGTGGCCTGAATTCACCCCAGGCCCGGGAGCTGACCCACCTGGTACAACAGATCTCTCCTGTCTGGCCCGCTGCTCCCTTCCGCAGTACGTTTCTGTGCATCAGCCTGTTCTGCTCCCCACTCTGTCTCTGATAGCACCTATGTAAAGTCCCAAATTTTAGTCATGATCTAAAATTTTGGTAAACAAGAACTGGAGAAATTGCAACCTACAAAGTTAAAAGTAAAGAAAGCTTTCTACATTTGTTTTAACTTCATAGGTTGCAATTTCTGCAGCTTCTCAGCTGTTGAGCAACATTTAACCTAACACTTCTGTCCTCACGGCATCAGAACTACAATTTGTCTCAGCAGAATCAAGGCCTATGCCCTCGTCTTGTAGTCCATGCTTTGTAATGACCAACTTGGCCGGGGCCTGTAGAATCTTTAACATCGGGGAGAGGGCACGTTTCTGTTTTAGCACCTACAGTACCACTCTGGGTTCCAGCAGAAGCAGTACACTCCTGTCATGATCTGGCATCAAAAAAGGACGAAGCCTATTCCAGAGCTCCAGCCACTAGCAATTCAGCTGCCACCCAAGAAGCCAACACAGGAGTCTAAAAGAGAAAAAGGATGCTTTCCCGTGGACTTGGCAGTCCTGTGAAACATCCAATCAAGACATGATGCCCTTGAGGCTGCTGTATCCTGGCTTGGTGAACATTAACAAGCCCTCTGGACACAACAAACTCTATGGTGGCTTGTTGGGATACCACCGTTGGTCACAATGTCATAGACCTCAGAGACAAACTACAGCAACAATTGGCACAATTACAACAAGAAGCACAAAAAAAATGCCACATAGACACTTCTATTTATCTATTTTAGTATATTTTTATTTTTTACATCATTCTTCATTTTGTGCATCTTTTCATCTCAGTTGTAATCCCCTTGGGCTTCCCATCACCAATTCACCCATATGCCATCACTATAGTCCAGACATAGGCACATTTAAATTATACTGCCTATTGGCTAAATCCAACTAACCTGTCAATTCTCAATGTTAAAAACTGGATTTTGGGGGTATATAGGTTTATTATTTTTGTTAATTTTTCTTCTAGTTCTAAAAAGCCCTGTGCTACCTATTCCAGAGAAGTCTTTACATTGAAGCTGTAACTCTCCCAATACCAGCCATTACCTGTCCCTTAACAATAGCAACTTTGTAGTTGTGCATGCTTTAATTTTATTACCCACTATACAAGCCTATAGTAAGTGGGTCCATGTAATGTATCCCCCAGTTTTTCAAGTTGTAGGTTGGAATGTCCCAGAACCACCCCTGAGTACTAATGTTTCTTCCATTATAGGTGGGCCAGATATACCTGGTGACCTGGCTATGTTCTCCATCCAGCGTCCACCTGATCCCTGAACTATTCACTCACCAAATTATCCACTTATTCTCATACAGAATATACTATGTACCCATCGGCATATAACCCTCCCATTTCTTCTCAGTGGTGTATTAATGGTATTTCCCCTCCTCCTGTCTTCTAATCCTAAAGCCTGTTCAGCCACCAGTTTTTGTTTCCCACAGTTCTACAATCCTATACAAGGTCAGAACTGCCCAATCACTAGGTTATAGGAGCCAAACCTTACAAGGTGCCTTTCAAATCAACGGAGAGAAGAAAGCTTGATCACTGTGGGAAGGCTATGCAACATGAGGTAGGACTGGGAACATCTGGGGCCCAAGGACCAACATATGACAAGGGACCCCAGAAGTTGATCAGTGGAAAGACTGGTTGGTAAGATTGAAGCCCTGGCTGGGGGCCTAGGGCTTGACCTCAATGACAATTCTGAGTCATCAAGCAGGTGAGAATTGCCTGGAGGGCAGACTCGAAAGCCCTGATCCTACAGATGACCGAGCACATTTTCTAGATTCCATCCTCCCTTTTTTTTTTTTTTTTTTTTTGCCCCCTTCCCCCTCACAACTGATATTGTATGATGAGTTGATCAATAAAAAGGCCAGGATCTTCCCATTCAGCAGCATCCTGCATCCTACTGACACAGGGGGGCAAGCTATCATGAGGTAGTCAGTGTGGTGCTATCAACGCGAGTGACTGCTTCAAGTTAGGTTCTAATCAAGTCATCTCACAATCTAAAGTCTCCTACTCCTACTTGTGTTTACAAAACTTTCTTCAGTCTATACTCTGAGACTCTTCACCTGTAAGGTAATTTGAATGTTCGACAACTCATAACATTTTTTGCTTTCTAGAAAAAGAGAATTCAAAAGAATTGACTAATGCAGTAAACTAATATTAATTCAATAAAAACGACTTTAAAAAGAAGGAAAGAAGAACTGACAACTTAATAGAATACAGATTTTTACAATTTACTAGATTGGAGAAATGTAATAATCCCAAATTTCTTTAATTAATAAACATTGTCTTTTCAGGTAATGTAATTAATCATCACATGAAACACATGGAGATTAGGAACGTGACAGAGTTTGTCCTACTGGGACTCACAGAGAACCCAAAGATGCAGAAGATTGTATTTGTAACATTTTCTCTCATCTACATCATCACTGTGGTGGGAAATATGCTCATTGTATTTACCATAAATGCTAGCCCATCACTAGGATCACCAATGTACTATTTCCTGGCCTATCTCTCCTTCACTGATGCCTGCTACTCCTCTGTCAGCACTCCAAAACTGATCATAAACTCACTCTATGAAAATACCATCTCATTCAATGGATGTATTAGTCAAATATTTTGGGAACATTTCTTTGGAGGCGCTGAGATCATCCTGCTCACTGTGATGGCCTACGACCGCTACGTGGCCATCTGCAAGCCCCTGCACTACACGGTCATCATGAACTGGCGTATATGTAACCTGCTAATGGGTGTGGTGTGGGCCGGAGGCTTTCTTCATGCCACCATACAGATCCTCTTCATCTTCCAACTGCCCTTCTGTGGTCCTAATGTCATAGATCACTTTATGTGTGATCTGAATCCTTTGCTCAATCTGGCCTGTATGGATACTCACAGTCTAGGGCTCTTTGTTGCTGCCAATAGTGGGTTCATTTGTCTGTTAAACTTCCTCCTCTTGATAGTCTCCTATGTGGCCATCCTGTGCTCCCTAAAGAACCACAGCTTGGAGGCAAAGCACAAAGCCCTCTCCACCTGTGGCTCCCACATCACAGTGGTTATATTGTTCTTTGTACCCTGCACATTTGTTTACATGAGACCTGCAGCTACTCTGCCCATTGATAAAGCAGTTGCTGTGTTCTATACCATGATAACTCCCATGTTAAATCCCTTAATCTACACCTTGAGAAATGCACAGATGAAAGATGCCATCAAGAAATTGTATAGTAAGAAAGCTATTTCAGGTGGCACATAAGTCTATTTGGAGCACACAATTGATTCAATTGAAACAAGAGTCCCAAATGCATGATGAATGATCTCACCAAGAAATATCTATGGGGTAAAGAAATATCTCAATATAATAAGGGGAGGAAAAATGGATGCAAGGAAAAAGAAAAGTATCATCCAGAAACTGCATATTTAAAACATATTACCTAATGGGGCTTAGTTTTACTAATTCATCTGTGCATGTAGATTCACAGGCTTGCTTTCCAGTAAAAGTTAAAAGCATTGTAACTGACATAATATCTGTAACAACCCAATGAGATAGGTACTGTTCATGCCACTACTACAAGTGAAGAGACTGATAGAAAGCAGAAGGTACCACAAGCAGGTATATCAAAGGACCAGTAATCAGAATCTGATTTCCCAGACCTTAGTTTCAACAGCTATAATATACTTCAAGTAGTGATGATGCAAGCTTTAAGATAATTGTACTAGTTACCTTTGTTTTTTTTTTTTGAGCAAGGGACTGTTAGTTCATTATCTGTAAAAGGTCAATAATTTGTCATTAGTAACTTCATTTTTAGATAACATAGTGGTATAATAATATATTGCTTGTGTCTTTATAGCATGTACAGCATGTAACTATTTTAGAGTTAAAAGTGATGGGCCATTGAACCTCTGTAGAAGTCTAATAAAAATTATACCATTTTTCCAAATTTCTCATAGATTTCAGAATGCTTCAGTATTATTTATGTATCTTGGGCTGCTAACCCATCAGAAAGAGCAGTGACTCAAGTAAAAGAAAATCTCAATGTCAAACAGGAATTTCTATTAAATATACAGTCATACTCAATAAAAACTTTGCCTACTCTTTAACAATATTTCAACAAGATAGCACCAATGTGCAGGATAAATATTGAACTAAGGTATAAAATAAAATAAAATATCACTGAAATACAGAGTACAAGATAATACTGGGTCTAGAGAATTCCTTCATACTTTCATATGAATCAAATTTTGAAGAGAATTCTAGTTTGATGTTTAGGGAAACCCCAATTTGCTTTTACTCCTTTTGAAACTGAGGTCGAGAGAGAAATTAAAACTGAGACTCTCGGCCCTCCCTGGTGGCGCAGCGGGTTAAAGCACAGCACTGAGAAGCTAAAGCCGCTTCTGCATGAGTTCGATTCCCGCCTGCCCCGGAGGTGACCACATGGTGCGGCAGACCTCTCCTGACCCGCCCGCTGCTCCCCTCAGCGGTGTACTTCGTTGATCTGCCTGTTCTGCTCCCCACTCTGTCTCTGGCGAAACCTCTCACGGCCCCTGAGCCTCTGGCCTGTCCCCCAGTTCTGTATGAACAAATAAATAAATCTTTAAAAAAAAAAAAAAAAACTGAGACTCTCAGCAACTCACTACCTTTGCACAGTCATTTACCATCAAGATTTTACTATCTCATAAATATTGTTTGGTATATTACTCTATAATTCAGCTTACATAAGGATAACATTTCATTACTAACAGCTATTTTTAGAAATATACAGCTCCATCGGCACAGCAAAAAATGTAAGTGTAAATATAGTCCATGCATTCCTTCTATCCACTAAACAACAAATATTTTAAGCTTAAGGAATATACCAGACTCACTGATAATTGCTGGGACTTGTGTGGGTCCTCTCCACAGAACTAAAGGATCCACTGAAAGAACCCCAGAAAAGAGTAGACAGTGACAACAGTGTTGTAAGCTGCACAGTAGAAACACAGGGCACTAGAAGAGCACACTGGAGAGCAATCATGACCTTGCAGGTGAGGATAAACCTCCTAGAAAAAGCGAAATTAAAAACAGGATCCAGAGGACGTCTGTTGGCAAAGTAAATGGCCATTAGATGGAGGAGAGTATCCTAGGAGAAAGAATTCATAGTACATGCCAGAAGGTGAGAAAAGAATATGTAGGACACCTGACCAATTTCAAGGCTGGCATTATTTACTGGCAAACCAAAACTTTATGAACAAGAAAATCACACCCACAAAAAATGTATATCAAGCCCACGGTTTAAAGTAGAGAAATATCATTAAACATGGTGTTTTTCAATAATCAGTAGTAACCAAGATTTCATTGTCACATGAAAATGGTGCTTTAATATTAATCCAGTATTCAAGAATCATACCTTTTAGCTTCTAAAGATATCTCAGATTTGTAGGTAATCTATAAATATTTAGTAAGGAGCAACAAGTTCTGATGACAAGAATATGGAATGGGAGAAAGTAAATCTGGATTCCAGTGTAAGCATTAGCTCTATGCTAAATCTTGCAGATAGTCTGTGCACAAAGGACTCTGTGCAAAATTATCCAAACTTTTGTTACTGTTGAAGTCTTCATCTATACATCAAGAGAGTTGGGTGAGATTACTATAAGTATTCCTATCTCTTCATACTCAATGATTCTGTTTAATCATGATCTGAGGTTATTTTTTTCCTCCAGAGCTTCCTCATAGCATTTTTTACTTCAGCATTTCTAAGAGTGTATATTAAGGGATTTAACATAGGAGCCACCATGGTATAAAACACAGCCACAGCTTTATCAATGGGCAACGTGGTCACTGGGCGCAGGTACACAAATATACAGGGCACAAAGAATAAGACAACCACTGTAATGTGAGACACACAGGTAGAGAGGGCTTTGCGTCTCCCCTCCAAGGCATGGTTCTTGAGGGAGCGCAAGATGATCACATAAGAAAACAACAAGAGGAGGAAGTTTAACAGGCAAATGAAACCACTGTTGGCAGCAACAAAGAGACCAAGGGTATGTGTGTCTGCACAGACCAGTTCCAACAAAGGGTACAAGTCACACATGAAGTGATCTATGACATTGGGGCCACAGAAGGGCAACCAGACGGTAAAGAGGATCTGAATGGTGGCATGGAGAAACCCTCCCATCCATGCCACTCCCAGCAGGAGAACACACAGTCTGCGACTCATGATGGCCGTGTAGTGCAGGGGCTTGCAGATGGCCACATAGCGGTCATAGGCCATGACTGTCAGCAGGATGATCTCAGTGGCACCAAAAATGTGTTCTGCGTAGACTTGCGCCATACACCCATTAAAGGAGATGACTTTATTCTTGTGAAGAGAGTCCACAATCAGCTTAGGAGCTGAAGAAGAGGAATAAATGGTGTCTATCAAGGAGAGGTGGGTCAGGAAGAAGTACATGGGGGAATTCAGAGTCGGACTGGTGGTAATGGTGAACACAATGAGCAGGTTGCCTGAGAGCGATACCAAGTACAGAATCAAAAATACTACAAACACAGCCTTCTGGATTTGGGGGTTCTGTGTAAGACCTAGTAAAATGAATTCAGTCACATTCCTTTTATTCTCCATCTGTAAGAAATGTGTGGCAAAAATTCCAGGAGAATTCTACCTTTTAAAAAGAGAGAAGAAAGGAAAGTGAGCCATCAACCCATGAAAGAGCTCAAACTCTACTTCCCAAACCTGGGGATCCATGCCTCAAATCTCTTTAAGGGGGCACTTGCACTCCTTTCATCCTGGAATCAAAAGTATTCTCATAACACATTGGATAACCACAAGCAAGGACCCTTATTTTGCTGTATCAGAGTAACAGTGCAAACTTTCACCTGAACACCAATCTCACAGAATAATGGAATCACTAGACATGCAATTTAGGAAGCTAACAAGACTTAAAGAATATATAAAATAACATGAATGAAACCCCATAAAATAATCTCTACATCATAATTATAATGCAAATATACAAGTTAAAATTTAGTGTGTAACAGTTATGAAATTAGTATTTAATAGTATATGTCCTCTATGTATCTTTTAAGAAGAAAATTCAAGTTCAAAACTTTCACTTATAAAAGTTTTCTTAAGTATGCTTTTTTTATCACTGAAATAGGTGCTATTTCATCCATATTAAAACATGACAGAAAATTTTAGGAGGTAATTATTAGATTTAGATTATTTACTATTGGATATGAAGTTATGGGTCATCCTTTATTTCATACTGTGTTTTTAATGTGTTCTAATTTCTACAGCCTGAATTGCTAATTCTATACTCAAAAATAAATAATATTGCCATATTTTTAGAGGCCAGAAATTACAACTATGAAATTTTAAATTGAATGAAACACATATGAAAAATACAGAAAATTGTACGTTGGCACATCGTGGCACAGCAGCAAGCATTACCTGAAGGTGTTGAAGATAGTTTTATAATATTCTTGTGACATTGTCACCAATTCACCAAATTGAGAGCATAGCCAGATATTACCTGGAGATTCAGCCAGAAGGTAAGTTTCCCCTGCCAGCCCCAGTACATCACAATCATCTGAAAGGCCTCCGTGTCCACCAGACAAAGCTATTGATCTCTGGTTTTAACTTAGACTAGAGACAGTAGGTAAGTCAAGTCTGAATATTCAACCAAATCAGTTTTCATGCCAAGTTAATTTCCATTTGCTTGATAAGGAATACACATATCACTCAATTAAACTTTAAAATCGTATTTGAAGCCAAGTCTTGTCATTATTAATTCTCACTTTTCCCTGGACCGCAAATTCCCTTGTTCTCTTTGTGTCTTCTTAAAGCACCCAGGTACGAATAGTAAAATGATTGTCTCCTGCTACGTGTGGGCACGATACATCATGAAGTGATGAGGCGGAAACCAGATGATCCCACAAATGTTTCACTGAGAAGCTACCTTTAGAGTTCCAAGGCCCAGGATAGTGGCATCCCCTTGGGATAACTCCATGCTTCCAAGAAGCCTTCCAGACACAAGGACCCTTGAGAAGAAAGTTCAGTGCACTTCTAATTGACACCTGTTCTCTAGAGTAGATGGCCTTTGGGAGAACCAACTACCCCATCAAATGCTTTTATAATTTCCTGAAGGTCTGTACCAAAGGTTCTATTTTAGGATCAAAATCGCCCAGAAAACCCCAAACTTGGCTCATTTGTCCTCATTTCACCTCTGACTGTTTCTTGTAAATCTTGAAGTAGAGTGTATTTCAAAAATAGTGCTCATCTC